CTGGCACCTAGGCGCCAATTATTTGTCAAAACACAAGAATTTGGTTTCGTTTTGCAGCAAAGTCCTCTAGGTAATTGCACATTAGGTCCCTAAACTTTGTTCTTGTACATTTTGGTCCTCATTTTTTTACTTTCATATCAATCATGCTCTTCATAAATTTTATCCAAGGTCCTTATATTTACGCACTTGTGTATTTTGATCCCAAACTTCACAATTTTGTACACTTTTGATCCACTTTCACTTCCTTTTATGTTATTCTCTTTCCTTTTGGGGTTTTGACCTACAAAATCCATAATTACATAATCGTGAATAGAAATTTGTTTAATTTTATCAATAATTACCTTGTTAAAATATATAATATAGTGCAAAAACACACTTATCATAGTTGAACCATACCTTTCTATTGGCATAAAGATAATAAACACATTAGTTATTTACGATGATAAAGAATTGTCGCTATTGTTAATCATACTATTTATTTTATTTTGGTATGGAAAACAAGATTGATAAATATTAATGGTATGTGGAGATTGGATAATATAACAAAAAAAAAAAAAAAATCGACGTTTTCTTCTTTAATTAATCATTTTATTTTTTGGAAGCAATTATGTATTTTTGGGCTTATTATCAAGTACAAGGCCTTGCTCTAATAGCCATAACATTTCTACCTATTACTATTATTATGAAAAGCTTTCTTACATTTCATTTTTTGACAATTTCACTCATATTTTCACGTTTCATTGGGCAAATTTTTTTTAAAATCAATTTTCTTAATTAAAATCTATGAAATGACGAATATACCCTTCTATTTAAATAAAAAAAGAAAAAACTAATTTAAACCATAGTCCCAATTTTTTTTAAAATTGCAAACGAGTCTCGAATAAGTTATTAAAAGGGTTAATTTCACAGATGGTCACTGAAGTTACAGAAAAATTTCAAAATGGTCACTGAAGTTCGAAACTTGCATAAACGGTCACTCAACTTATACTCACTCTGAAAAATGGTCACTGAGCAAAATTAAGGGGCTTCTTTGTTCTCATTGAAACCTAAATTAACAAAATTA